CTACAGCTTCTTGGTTGCCTTGAGCTTGGTGGCTGGCTAGAACCTACACTTGAGCTTGGTGGTTGGCTATAACCTGTAGGTTGCCTTGAGCTAGCAGGTTGGCTTGAGCTTCCAGGTTGACCCATTTCAGAAGATTTAATAATGTAAATAAGAAGAAGAAAAATTGTATTGCATTTTATCTATTTAATTGAAGTAATTAAAGGTTTGCTTGAGTATTACCACATATTTGCAGGCTTTATTATTGTGGCCTTGTTGATGACACTTGGAGCAAGTCATTTTTACACCTCTCTGGACAACTTTCCATACTTCTTTCTTGGCTCATCCTTTGACTTTCTTCTGCATTTTGGTGGTCTGCCAGGCATTTGCTTTGGTTCAGGAGGCTCAATCACTATATCACTAGTGTGAGGCCACATTTTCATGTTAGGTATTGGCTGGATAAAGTAATTATATGCCTTCATGAAAGTATCTTTTCTATACCAATGTACAACATGATCTTCAGGGTCTTGGCCTGCATGCTGATAAGCCAAAACAGCATGTTGACATGGTATGCCTCTCAACTGCCAGGTTCTACAAGTACATGTCTTCTTTCTGATATCAATAATATGCCTATAATGACCATCTAAAATTTCATATCCAAATTGGCCATTGAACCTAACTTGACAATCTCTAGCATAATCTTTGTTTTCTTCAAGTACTAAACTTGCCATAGGAGAAATGTCTGATATCCAAGTGTCAACAAATTTTCTCATTTCAACATTTCTATCCATTATCTTATGTCTAATTTCTTCTAACATGGTGATAATTGATTTATGTCTAGCAGCTAATATCCAAGAATTAAATGTCTCACACATATTATTCTCAACAACATCACACTTAGCATGCTCCTTAAAATATGCTTTACACCATGTCTTTTTTTCAAAATGTAACAAGTCTCCACAGATCTTATTACCAAGTTTATCAAGTTTATCCATTTCATCTTGAAATTTTACCTCAAAACTTGATTTTGCACATCTCCAGAATTGTTTTCTTCTTTCTTCTCCTCTCCAATTCTTCTGCCAATTGGACCAGATGTGTCTAGCACACATCCTCTGCTCACAATCTGGCAGTAACTCCATTATGGCTGCTACAAGACCCTACATATCATAATAATTGAAATTTATGACTAATAATAATTAAATAAATAGGCAATGAGATCAAAATTAAATAAAATGAACATTAAACTAACCTTTTGCATATCAGACATCACAGTCAATCCATGTCCAGTGCCTAAGTTTAGATCTTGTATCAAGAAGTTGATGAAGAACCTCCAACTGTGCTTTGTTTCTTGATCAACAACTGCCCAAGCAATTGGAAACATTTGTTGATTTCCATTCCTACCAATTGCAACTAATAATTCACCCTTGCAAGCACCCTTCAGAAAACATCCATCAAAACCAATGATTTTTCTACATCCTTCCAACCAACCTCTCTTTAATGCATCAAAACAAACATAAAAGTAAACAAACATATTCTTTCCTGGAGTAGATTCCATGTCTGTCCTCACCCAACATGAACTACCAGGATTAGTCTGTTTTATCATGTCTGCATAATCACACAACCTTGCAAACTCCATCTTCCAATCACCCATAAACTCCTTGAGAATCATCAATTTTGCCCGATAACAAAGAGTTCTTCCAACATACAATCCTGTCGTCTTCCTCACCAACTCTTGAATTTCCCACAACTTTATATAAGGTTGAGAAACTATTCTGTCCCTAAACTTATTTGCAATAAAGTTAGATGTACACAACTTGTTTTTGGTTGTGGTAGGGCACTGATGAACAGGATAGTAATTCTTAACAATAAAGTCACCAGAGTCTTTGTCTAGACTAGCATACAACAACCATTTGCATTTCTTATGCTGACATTTAACTCTGACTCTATGTTTTTCATTAGGCCTCAATTTTAATTTGACTTTATATTCCACAGCATACTCTGCCACAGCCTTTCTAAATTCTATGGCATTTTCAAATACCATACCAAGCTCAAATATAGCAACTACACAATCAGGATCAAATCTAACCTTTTTACTTTTTCTTCTAGCTGGTAAATCAACACCTTCCACAGCTTCAGGATCTAATTCATCCCTACTGTCATCACTATCCAGTTCTGAACTATCAATATATTGCTCATCTCCCCCCAATCTTCCTACATACCTAGCAGTCTTGTTCCTTCCAATGTCTTCAAATCCTCTATCAACACCAGCTACTCCAAGAATTATTTCCTCTGTAGAATCAGGTTTTTTCCTCTGCAATTTGGTTCTTCTTTCATTTCTAAAAGTTCTCAACTCTTCATCAATCTCTGAGTCATCATCATCTGGAATAGCAAACTCTTGTGAATCATCACTAATATCCCAATCTGTTTCAACACCTTCAAGATCTGATGTATCATCTACACCAACTTCAACATTAATATTCTCAGATTGGGTAGCTCCTTGTTGTAACCCTTCATCCACACCAACTTCAACATTAATATTCTCAGATTGGGCAGCTCCTTGTTGTAACTCTTCATCCACATTAATATTATGTGAGTTTTCTACCCCATCCTCATTAATAATTTCACCAACTGTTGGCCCACAAAGATAACCTGTAGGGACCCCATCTTTAATAATTTCTACCTCATCTATAACATGTTGAACATACAAGTCCAAAAAGTCACCATCACCTATGTCTTTTATAAGGTTTAGTAAGCTGAAATCGTTATCCACTAAGACAAAGTTATTGGTTGTAGGGTCTTTAAAATAAAACCCACCCACAGTAACATACCCCAGATCTCTAGTATAAAAAAGCAATTCCATTAAAGAAAAGTGGTCTTTATCGATACCTACATATTCCACTTCACTTTCCCCTATGTAAGTGAGACCTCCACCAGATGTGTCTTCCACAAATTTACCACCATGGTGAAAGCGAGTTACTATAATAATATCCATAAGATTCCCTAGAAAAAAAGTCAAATAAACCCGACAAATTACTGACAAGGAAACCCTAAAAAATTCAAACTTTATTCAGATATGTACAAAACATCATCACTGTAGTAATATACAAAAGAGACGCTATATTTAAAGGGGAAATTGATAGCAATAGTCATAAAGATTCGAAAATGAACTTACTTCACAAGATTTAACACAAAATCTCCTTGCTTTCTCGAATCTGCCCTAAAACACAACAACAAGAATTATTTTATTGAATCGACCACGCCGTAGGATGAAAACATGAAGATTATTGATCAACTTTCTTGAATCGACCACATATTGAGCGGGAATCTTGAAAGAATATCTAGGGTTTTTTGGAACACGTTTTGGGGATTTAGAGAAATGACTGAGGGGTTGGGTGTGGGGTTGGGTGTTTTGTGATGTGTATTACCACGTAGGATTAGATTTTCCACATAGGAGATGTGTAATGTCACGCGCTCCACCTTAAAACAAATGCCTCACACGATAAGTGCCAAGTCAGTCAGGTGTGTTTGATAGGTACACTTTTTGAGTGGTTTAAGTGTTCAATAGGAAAGAGTCCTTGTTAAGGTGTCTATACGAAAAATCCTTACAAGTTCAAGGGGCCGCTTATGCGTTCTGCCTTTAATTTTTTAAAATTTACAGATATTTAAATTTATATAAAATTAAATGAATAACATACATCTTTTATATGACGTTTTACAAATTAGTTCAAATGTATCTTACCTGAATTGTTATATAGAGCATCAAAGTTTTTCCAAAATTTGAATTAATAGTGTCAAATTGTATCACTTTATAGGAGTTGATGCATTCAATTTTTTTCAAAAAATAAATATAATTTTATTGATAAATAATATGAATACTTACTTGATTCTTCTCTTTGCATTTTCTCAATAATTCATGAACGGTTAATAATGTATATCTCAAACATAGATTGGTTGAACCTCTTTGAGATTTATTTAATCTTCTTGAAATATGTAACTTTAGAGAAAAAATCAGGTTATATCTTAATTTTTCTATAAATATTTCATGAAATTATTAAAATTTCAATATGATATGTTCAACTAAAACAAAACTAAATTCAATTATCTAAATGATTTTCATATAAGAAATAAAAAGAGTGTCACGTACCATTGACCATAGGCAATACCATTAATTTCTAGTTGAGAGCTAATGTAGCTTTCAAGAATAGGTAGATACGCATTTATTGCTTTCGAATTATATAATATAAACATTTGTATTTTTATTTTTTTACCTCTTAGAATTAATAATAATAAGCCATAAAAGCTATGGAATTTCCTTGAATGTTTGCTTGTGAATTAAATATAGGAGCTGTTCTTTTAACATTACTATCATCAGAATGGGAACAAACAATCTTTTTCCACACAATTCAATGAAATTTCCAGGAAAGTTCCAACTATTTGTGAGACCTTCCAAAGTTTTTTAAGACATATGGATTTTAAAAAAAATGTTTTAAAAAAAAATTGGAATTATAATAAAAACAACTTAGTTTATTTGTGGAAGGACAATGTCCTCCACAACCAAAGAATCTTCTTTGCAAAACAAATGACTAGTGACAAGAATCTCAATCCACACAAGTTGAAATATTGGAACAAAATCATGTGTATTTTCATCCTTCTCTTTTTCTTTTGTAAAGTTTCATTGTTTAATCCTCAAATTAATGGATACATAATTTTTAAGCATTTCCTAAAAGATGGTTTATCATAATTAGTCAGAAAGTTAGGCTAATGACAGTTGGCTTTTAAATTTGGCTGCTACTTTAAATGCACTTTAACCCTAGGTAGTTCGTGGCCTATTTCAATTGTTTTTTAATTTTAATTTTTCATGTGACATGATTAATATCAGAAGATTAAAGAACATTTTGGCTAATTTTATAAATCTTTAGTTTAAAACTTACAAGATTCAAAAATCTTCTTCATATTTTTTAACTACATGTCGAGTCATAAATCAAACAAACAAATTAAAACGGAGGAAAGCATTACAAAAAAGTTGAATACATAAGCATAATCTTCTTGAATCATTACTAGTTAAATGGATCTTTACACTTTATAGTCTCACACAAACACCAAGTCCATCTCCAGCTACAGGCTGAAGCTTTAAAAAAAAAAAGTTACCAAAAATACCCCCACACCCACCCCCCACCTACCAACTGCGGGTGGTAAAAGTCCACCACTGCTTTCCACTTCTGCCCTTCACAGAAGGAAAAATTACCAAAATACCCCCAAAAACCAAAAAAAAAAAAAAAAACCTACAAAGAGTGGCCTTCAAGAATTAGGGTCCCCAAAAGTAAGATACCCTTAATTCAAACAAAAATGAAAAAAAAGGACAATTTTAAAATATGCCCTTTTTTCATTTTTTACCTTAAAGACCACACCTTTACCACCAAAATACTTCTATACTAATATACTAAATAGTCACAATACTAATACTAGTGACCAAATCAGTATGCATCATATAATAATACTAGTGGTATTATACTTCAAAAAATTAAAAATCCCATTTAACTAAACTTTGAGATGTTTTCAGTGGAATTGAGCACCAGTATATGTCTGTCCAAATGACCAGTGAGCAGGTGCAACATTGTATGAGATCAAACTTCTACCATCACCTGTTGTAACCTTAAATGAAAGTGTTTGTCCATTAAGGTTGTTGTTGTTTTGCCAGTTTTGTCCCCAGTTTCTTGACATTGGCTGCCAACCAGTTCTTGATCCTTTAACAGCTACTGAATGAACATCACCACCACCACCAACATTTGTTACTAGTACTAAGTTGAAGTATGAGTGTCCATTGATTGTGAACCTGATTCCTCCCCTTCTTCTACAGGGTACCCTGTAATTTATTTGGACAAAAGATTAGTTAGAACATGAGAATTCAGATAGTCAACGTCAACCAAATGAATAACTAAGATTGTCAAGATTAGTCATAACATGAAAGTTGAGGTAGTCAACGAACTGATTTACTAAGATTACCAAGATTGGTTGTATAACATGTAAGTTCTATAGTCAATCAACAAATTTACTAAGATAACCAAGATTTGTCAAGATGTGAAAGTTGAGATAATCAACCTACTAAGCTACTGAGATTATCAAGATTGGTCATGGCATGAAAGTTCAGATAGTTAAACAACTGAGTTACTAGAATTTCCAAGATTGGTCATGTTATGTTTTTAAATGGTGTTAAAAGTTTGTAACTTTATTTCTTATGCTATTCCAAGTTTTACCAAAATCAAGAAACAAGTAAATGCTAAAGAGCACAATTCAAACAAGTAAGAGACAAATGGGAACAATATTTGTAACTTTATGTATCTTCTACTATTACAACAACCAAGATAGAAGTAAATGCTAAAGAGTACCATTAAAAATAGCCAAATGGGAAACTTCTTGTGATAAAGTTAAAACCTTTATCAAAAGGGACCACACCATGTGGTTTCACCATTTCATTTTTTAAGCATGCACAAAGTAAATTAAGGTCATTTAAAAGGGACCATTTAGAAATTTCAAACCTTTGGCTAAGTAATTTAGACATGACTAAGGTTTAGCATTTGTGAAAAGACAAAACTCTCCTTACCACTCTTTAAAGTACTAAAACAACATCATACATAGCAAGATACAAACCAAATGAAACAGCTAGTAATACACCTAACATATTTTTACCAAGAATTTACCTTCTATAAGACACAGGGACAATTCCAGCTTTGTAATGAGCAATGTGTTGGAAAATGGGCTGAGAGAGGTCAAAATGGTGAAGTGGAGGATTACACCAGCCCCCTGCATTATTAGGGAGGGCATTGTTTGGTGGGCAAAAATTTGTAGCTGTAACCACAATAGAACCAGGCAAACACCCTTGTCTATCATTCACACATCTTAATTCAAAACAAGAACCACAGCTCAACCCATTGTTGAACATAGCAGTACTTAAAGCTGCTGTATTTGTACCATACCCTTGACTATAAAGGTTCCCATATCCACAAGCCCCACCTATTCAAAAAAATCAAGAATCAGCACAAATTTTAACCTAAATTTACTCAAAAATCAAAACTTTTGAGGAATTTAAAGAAAATGCTGCATACCCATTGTTCCAGAAGCATCCCCACCCCCATAGAAAGTTGCATGAGCATTAATCCAACCTCCTCCACCATAACCATAAACAGATGACACCATTGCAAGAAGACCAACAAAGCAAATCCCAAAATAAGCCATGTTTCCTGCATAAAGATTACAACTTTTTAGCATTACATTCAAGAATGATAACAAATCTTGAAAATGGTGTTCTTCCAAGAAGAAAAACTGTTAATTAAGCCATGCTTTTGCATAAAGATTACAACTTTTAAGCATTTTCTAAGGTATACATTCAAGAAATGTTAACAAAATCTTGAAAATTGTGTTGTTCATTCTTGCATTTTCAAGAAAAGAGAAGAAAGACTCTTACTTTGGAGAGTGAGCCTTGACTAGCAAGAGAGAATGTAATGACTAAGCAAAGGAAGAGTGAAAAATGGGAGTTGGATGTGGAAAATTGAGAGGGATTTAGGGGGATATAAATAGGGATTGTAAGGGGTGTTTGGCCTTTAAGCTTGTGCTACAGTTATACAACTGACTGACACTTTTCTTTTAGGCTGTTGAGGGGACCAAAAACTGCCTTAGAGAGGAACCATTTAATAATGAGTTTTGGTTTAATTTTTTTTGAGTTTTTGGTGGTGTGAATGGAGGGTCATTTGCACTTTTGCTATCTTTTCTTTTTTGTTTGACCATCCCGAATTTATATCAAAGTTTGATTAGAATTTAAATTTATGTTAGAAAGTCTGATATTAGAGGATAAGACGCTCTCTAACTAAGATGATTTCATATCCAGGGGAACTCAAATTCGATACATTCAGTAAATGATCAAGGAATATTTATCACTCCACCACAATTCTTGTTGGTGCAGTTTTGCTACCATTTTTGTGGTTTTTAATTTATGATATTTGTTCACTATACTAAAAATAGATGTTTGCATATCAAATGAAAAATATGCAAGTTCAAATTGGACAAGTAAAAGTGAATGGAGGGAGTACTTCCTTCGTTTCGATTTGTATGTTTGTTTTTACATAACATTGGGTTTAAGAAAGTAAATAAGCAGAGGCGTATCTAAAGGGGGGTCACCGGGTTCACGTGAACCCATGGTCTCCTCCCGAAATCATATATAGTAGTGTTATAATTTTAAGAAAACATTGAAAAATAGATGCGTGAACCCACACTTCAAGTATCACATAATGCGATTATGATTGGGTCTCCGCGAGGTTAGAAAGTTGAATTTTATATTTATCTTGTTTTATTTTTCTTTCTAAAATTAGATAACAGTTCTCTAAGTGGTAATTGGTATATAAGAATTAATTTTAGACCTATAATTTTAAAATTTTAACGATTTTTAGTAGTAAAAACCTAAATGTCGAACCGATCAAATTTATATCATAGATCAACCTTTATATAACAGTGCACCCATCATCTCAAAATTCTGGATACGCCTCTGTAAAAATAATAAGATTTTTGAATTTTGTGTTTTTTAACTAAATATATGTAAAATATATCAACATATCTTTTAATCTTGTGGTGTTAAATGTGCCAGGTGAGAAAAAAGTAGAATTCAAGAATTGTTAGGCAAAATTTCTTATTTAAAACCGATCAAAAAAAGTAAGACAAACAAATTGAAATGTAATTTTTATTATGTTATCCCATAAGTTATGTCCGCATGACTTCAATTTCTAAAAAGCTTATGTTCCATTATACATAAGTTTGATAGCTAAAAAAACACAAATTAAAGACTAATATATTCGAAGGACAAATATGAAAGACGAATTTATTTGAAGGGTTAAATTGGTCAATTTTATGAAAAATTAAAGGGAAAAATTCTTTATTTTATTCTGGGCCTGGACAATATTGGTTTAATGGGCTGAAACCGCGTGAATCTTTGTAGGTTTGTGCTATTTTGTAATAACACCAAAAATTCCCAAAATCCAAGTAGGGTCTTCTGTTTTTTCCTCTGTTGGTTAAAATTTACAACGTTTTGAATTTAATTTAATACAAAAATTTTAAAAATAATTTTTTTAAAAAAAATATTATGATATTAAATTAAAGACATGCTAAATGTACTAAAATGTCTTTAATTTTGTGATTTTAAACATATCATATGATTATTTTTTTAATGTATCTTAAAATGAAAATAGGATAAACAAATTGTTTAATGATAAATTTTTATATTGAACGTCTAGATGACTTGTCAAACATTTTCTAAGGACGTGTAAATGAAAAATACGAAAAGTATTTTGAGATCGGACAGTACAACCATCTAGGGTTTTGTCCATACAAATTACTAGTAAAAACTTTAATAATGAGAATAAGTGTTGCATCTGCTACAAACACTGGAAATTAAATACTATATCAGCCTTTTCAGTTAAAATTAAAAATAGAATAGAATAAATTCTACTGCTTTTTCTAGTGGTTAGGCCATTTATAGCACATTGAATTAAATTAAAAGTGAGTGAATTAAATAGTAAGATCTTTTTTGGTAGCAGAATTTAATAGAAATAATTCACTTAAACACTAGTACAAATTCATATTAATATTATTAGTTTATTGTTTCTCCACATTAAATAGCAGTTTATATGATGGCTCCAAAAGTACATTTAACCTCCCTACCTACTTAAGTAATAAGCTTTATATATCCATCGGAATATTTCATTTAGACATCGAATTAATTTTGGTGTCAATTAAATATCTTAGCTTCAAATAAAATGTGTCAATTCGACAATTTTGAAAGAAAAAATTGCATATTTATTATTTGTCTATGAAATAGTTAAGTTAACATTTTCTTATAAAATGAGACGGAAGGATTATTAATTAGGAGTATTGAATTTGAATTTTTGAAATAGTTTTTTGGCTACTTTTACAACTAGATAGTACATTTTTGGGGATTTTGCAACACGTGAATCGACAATCAAAGATCTTCTATAATTTTCAAACATGTCGTGATCTATTTATTTATTATATTTCAGTGAGGTTAGATGATATATTAAAAATGAATTAATTAGCCGAAATTATTGGTCTAGACCCATTTTATATGTGATTCAAGAGTGTTACTCATGCAAAAGAAAAAAACAACATAATAATTGTTGGTATAATTGTACCATTAACTTGTCAATACAATTATACTATTAAATTGTTGATTCAATGATAATTAAAAGTCGATAATTTAAATTTATGACACTTTATAAAAATTGATGGTTCAAATTCGTGACCTTTTACTATTTGACCACGATTAATAATTCAAATTTGTGACACTATTATTTCAATTGTTAGCTCTTGTTTTCTATCTTAACTTTTTTTAAAATATAGTTTCTCATTCACACCTTTAACTTTTGAATTTATACATAAAAAAAATTGAATTATTTATGAAGGTATAGTAGATTGATGTGTAATTATTATTATTATTTAAAAAGGCAACACATGTTTAAGAAAAAAACTTTTATCAAGTCTCATAAGTCATTCTCTTCATATATTGAATTGAGATACCATAATTTATGCTTTTTATTTTTTGCTTGGATAATAAAAGATCACACAAATTTCCAAAACCTTATCCTTTTTATTTCTTTTTTTCTTTTGGTTGGATGATAATAACCTCACATAAATTCCTAAAATTGTCAATTGAATTGCACTTTTCACGTTGAGGAAAGATTGTGACCTCAAAAAAATTGACAAAACACAATATAATGTTGAGCCGGACCTGAAGATGAAGTTGTAATTGATTATATTTTTATACTTAAATACAACTTTTTTTCAATTTTTTTTTCTATTTTTTTTTTAAAGTGAATAATTTTTATGACTTAACGGATCGAAAAATAAGGAAGGAAGGTGGTTTTCATGAAATCCGGTTCTTCTGCAAATTGGTGGGGTTGAAAATGACAAGTTGAAAGTTGAGGGATTGTGCGGTAATGGAGGAAATTGCACATGCTCTTTATTTGTCTCTTTACTCCAATTTACCAAATTCCATTTGGATTTCCCTTTTTTGCCTTTTTGTTTTCTTACACCACATACCATGTTAAAGAATCCTATATAAACAAATTAAAGTTATTTGGAGTCGTCTTTGGTAGAGCACTATACGAGGATTTTAGTAATTCAGTTGGTTGATCATAGGAATTGTCACCTTATTAGAGAGAATCAAATTCCCTACTTTTCTTTATGGTTTCTCATGATGTATTTAGTTTCCACGTTGGAGCTCAACTAAATCCAGATTTCTGCCAGAATATCCTATATTGGAGAGGGTGGGGGGGGGGGGGTAAAAAGCTCCCTAAAAAAAGAGACTATGTACCCAAGGAAACTTGAACTCGAGGACCTCGGGTTAAGGAAGATTCCCTACCTTTTATTTCTCCTTTCTAGTTGTAGAGTCAGAATTTTCACTAACGAGGTTTAAAATATGAAAAGTAAACACACGAATAAGTTAAATGAGATTCGAGATCTACGACGAATTTTAACCATGTATAAATATTAGTTTGGTTTTCTGCGGAATGGAATTCGAAACTCTTGAGCCCTTACAAGCTCTGCCTCCGCCCCCACCCCATTTTCCTCCCCCTACCCTCGAAGTTATTTTTTTTTTAAAAGATAACTATTTAATCTTCGAAATAAAACTTTCTGACACAAATCTGAATGAAAAAATTGTCTTACTTCCTCTTAAATCCAATTTCCAATCTCAAAATCAACAAACTAAAATAAATAAGGAAGATCATTTCTATGAAATGTCTAATCCTACTCCTAATAACTTGAAGTTAAGTCCTTCAATGCAAATTAAAGTTTCGGCCTAACAAATCTTTAAGGGATTCGAAATTCATTATTCCTACTCATTCATATTCACATTAAATAGGACTCATTTAATAGAGAATTGCGCACTAACTAATAAGGTATTTATTGCAATTATTATTCAAATTTGTGGGATACTATTAGTTAAACAAAGGTATAACAATGATAATTCAAACGATATCAACGTTAATAATTGACGCTAAATTCTCAAATTTAAGTCATCTAGTGTGAATATGAATCCACATCATAAACAAAAATATATAAACTTTTTCTTCACCCTTCTACTAAGAGATACACCATGTTAATTAAGAATCGGCAAAAGCTTTCTTATTATTCATCAATTTTTGTTTTATTTATGCTAACAATTAAGTGATATTTCTCTTTTAAGGTAAAAAGAATGAAGCAAGAGTATATTTTACAAAAATGAAATGACAGGAGGGTTGACTATATATTACTACAAATTTTATTCACCTAAATGGAAAAAAAATTAATATTTTTTACCATATGATATAATGACATTATTTTAAAAAAGAGTCAAGGGCAACTTATGTTTTTTTTTTTTTTTGCAGGTTTGTGAGGTCCAAAAATTTGTACCAAATATATGTAGCAGAATTATCAATTGTAAGATTGCCTTTTTTTCGTTTAGGCAATTCACTACTGATAACTGATTTTTTCCACAGTATGTTTTTTTGTCTTTTTCTGGGAAAATTAACTCTGGACCGTTAATTTCAAATATATTTTATTC